AGAGAGAGAGAGAGAGCCTTGTGAAGGTTCTCGACATTGCTTTCTTCCATCAATATCTACTTGGCCTTTTCACGTAACTCTCTTACCACTTGCTCGGAGAGGGGTCTTGCTCAAGAAGGACTTCGAATCGAGGAAAAGTCATGCGATGTTCTTCAAATGAGAAAATCCAAGCATCATACTTATTTAGTAAGAAAAGAAGAAAAAAAGATTCATGTAATCAAGGATTCCAGAGAATGCTGTAGACACCCCATTTTCAAATCGGCTATTTTCCCCCATTTTTCCTAATTTTTAAATCCTTAAAAATGCTTTAGAAATGCCTAATAGACCCGTAGGGACCTTCCTACCCAAATACACCATAGTCTACCTTTTTCTCTGGTCCATAGTCCCTTGGACCATGGTCCAACCTTCTTGTATATCCTAGAGAATCTCCAAGATAATCCTAAAACCCTAGGAAACCATCCTAAAATCTAGAGTCATCCTAAACGCTAGAAACTAGGAAAACCAACTTAGATAGAAGTGTTCGGGATAAATGTAATCAAGAAAACATGTAATTTGGATCAAAATCAAGAAGAGCAGTGAAATCCCGAAAAATTAGCCTATCTTCTATTTCGAGTCATTCAAGGGACCAACAGAAAACCTTAGATTTAGAGACCTAACCTTTGGAGAAAACCTAGAATTAGGAAGCCTAAACCTCAAGATACCTAAACCTTAGTTTTTTAAACCAAATTCCAGAGATTAAGGCCCTGACCTTGATCCTCTTAACCTTAGCCTAGAGCTTTAGCCTTAAAACCTTATATCCTAGAAGCCATGACCCTGGATCTAAGCTACAAAACCCTAGATTAACCTATCTCGACCATTCATAGCCAATTTTAAGCAGATCTTAAGAGGGGAAAGTCTGCCAATTTCAAAGAGCAAAAGTGAAGGCAAAGAGGTGTAAATAACTTGTGGTCCTGATACGAAAGACACCACCAACTTTGGGCGTCTCGGGCCAATCGGCAAGTAAATTTTTATCTCCTTTTCTTCTTTATTTTCTTGTTAATCTCAAATATTTTAGTTAGATTTAATTTGCAGAAAACTTCTTTATTTTTGGCAAAAAGATCAAGCTGGCATTGCCGGCGATTTAAAGGAGAATTGGCCTACATGGGTTAATTGGTTTTTAAATCGTAATTCGATCTTCATCCACGCATTCTCCATCAAATTTTAATTAACTAGCTTTATACCGATAGATCAGGGGATCTCTGATTTGAAATTCTCTCGATTTCGTGCTGTAAACAAATGCCAAACGGAAGGAAAAGGGAAAAAGCCATGTATTTGAGAAGTCCATGGGGAGGAATCGTCCTGCCCAATGGTCCCCTTTAGAAAAATACATTTTCTTGGAAGGAAGCTAATGGTTTGGGCTTAGGAAAAGGTGGTTTGGTGTTGTCTTTCTCTTTCTAGGAGGTAAGCAATCTCTGGGAAGGAAATGGGCTGCAGAAAGTTCCTTTGAGGTAATCTATTTATTCATGTTATTTATGGATCTTCTGGGGTGAGAATTTTTATTAAAAGCATGTAAGGAAGCCACCCATTTCTATTAGGTTCGGTTGCGAGAGGTGCTTGCCATAGTATAATTTATCTTGCCATGGTGAGTTTCGACGTTTTCTTGCTTGGCAAGATCCTAGGAAACGTGTTAGGGCTATTCTCTCCTAGGCACCTAGTGTATGTGTCATCTCACTTTCTTTTGATGAAATTGTTAAAAAACTGTTAAGACAACCATCGAAGAGGGTTCTGAGCCATTGGAAAAGTACAAAGCCCTTGTTAGGACAATAATTAAATCTTGATTCTTTTCGGGACTGAAATAATAAGAGTCCCTTGGAGAATGAACAAGTTGAGCACTCGTGTAGTTTTGAAGAAATTCAATTGATCTGGTTTAGACTCTAATATTACTGGTTTATGGGGAACCATAAGTTCTTAGGGTTTTCCATATGTCCAAATGTTTTGGAGTATCGGGGTAGTGTAAGAGTCACTCATAAATTATGTTAGAATGACATGCATGGCGAGCACATTTTGGCATGTCTGACACAACGGATGTGTCTGATGCACATCCCCACACACAATTACACATGGGTCAGTCATGTCTATTGTGTCTTTAACACATTTTGAGTCAGACACTTGTATCTTGTCATGTCATACTTTGACATGTGTGTCCAAATATGGGACATACTCTTCCAAATATCCGGGCTGTTGTCGACATTTGGTCATGTGCATCCATCACTTAGGGACACGTGCCCATTACTTTGGACACACGAGTTGCAATATTGTTCTCCCTGATTTTGACACATCTATGATTTGGATCCACATGTTTTCTTCTTTAAGTTGATTTTATTGTTATAAATAAAAAGCAATTTTATATATGAATAATATAGACGTAGGTGCATTGTACAAACTTGTAGAAATGTGCTGTACTGTACTAAAAAATTATTGGTAGATGAGTTGGAGTCGTCGAATCCTAGTCGGACACGTATCCTAGTGTTACTGTTGTTATAACATAGCCCATTAGCTGGAGGTGGGGTATAAGGCCTTTAAAAACATTAAGAGAAAATGTCTTGAATTCCACATGGCTTAATATCTAGCTTCCCAATCACCATATGGGTTACAAATTCTGTAACTCCATGAATTGAATTTGGAAGTTCAACTCTTGATCCCTTCTTTTAACTTCTTTCCTACTTTTGGCCCGGTTCTCATCTACATGCAGAGCAGCTGCTAATTGGATCCAAAGAGACACGCTGCCATCTCTTTAGGCAAACTTCGTCCTTGCTATATCTTAGCTAGCACCACACTTGGGGCAACCACCCATCTTTGACTGGCACATTAATTGATGAAAACTCAAGTCCATTCCTACTGATCCATGTAAGGTTCTCTGGCCAGAACCCGCCATTTCATCTGCATTGGGTGCACGTTATTGCTTAGAAATCCATTACTAAATTGTCCTGATATTACAATATAAGCATTGATTTGTAAAAAGAATCACTAGGCAAGGATATCCAAATGCTTCCAGAGTGGATGATAGCACTGCTGTATAGTAGTTGGTTTTTAGTCCAGCTACTAGGTCCACCTTCTTTTGCAACAAAAGGTTGTAATGGTTGGTTTGCTAGATTAAGAAATAAGTGTTGATTTGTAAAATGAATCATTTGGCAAGGATACCTAGTGCTTCCATAGGGATGACACCACCATGATGTTATATTAGTTGTGTTTTAGTCCACCTTCTTGAATAATGGAAGTTGGTAATGATTGGTCTACTAGATTGAGTAAGAAACCTTTTTTGATATATTTTGGATATTATGTTCCCTAGTAAAAGATTAAATTAGCAAAATTTGACTTTCAGTTTCAGTGCTTGACAATTTTTCTAGTTGCTTTAGGCTTTGGTTATTCAACAGGGTTAGCTTTTGGTTTTTTTCTCAAGTCTTTGAATGATGCATCTACTGCCTAATATTTAGTGTATTTTTTTTTTCAGGGTGATAGCTACTGCCGTTGCGTATTTTCGACGTGTGTATACAAGGTATCTGTGGCCCTCTTTTTATGTGACTCACGTAATTTCATTCTGCAAGTCGACCAATTTGCATTTTATTTGATTAATGTGACTTGTAATATTACTTTTTTGCGAAAGTTTGTTTATAATGAAGCTCATATATTTCATCAGATGGCATTTTGATTGATTTCATTCATATAAGTAGTTGATTTCACTTTTATATAGAAATTTCATGCAAAAATATCTTGCAGAAAATAACTAGAGAAGAACCCATGGTAAATATGCTAGCATTGCCAATGCAATTTAAATCTCACCCTGCAAAGCCAATAATAGAAGTTTCACTAAGGAACTCCTTTCAAGTACATTAGAAGTTCCATGGGAGGATTGTGTCGTAGAAGTGTGAAAGGTGACTATGGGGATGGAGTAGGGTCGATGGTTCTTGAAACCCTGGGACTAGGCTGAGGATAAAGTAAGCAGTGGAGAGAGTAAATAGTCTTAATACTATGGTGATTAATGAGAGTTGAGTTGGTTCTAGACTTCTAGTGGTGCACTTATGGGAAATAATGCATATAGTCTCATGTTTCCCTTGTTCACTGTTTCAAAAAGCGGACAACCTAGCGCTTGGGCGGCCGCCTAGGCGGATATCCTTGGGCGTCTGCCTGAACCCGCCTAGGCAGCTGCCCAGCGCCTGCGCCTCACCTAGGGCCAGAAATGCTGCTCCTTGAGGGTATTTTTAGGTTATTTTTTTAATACTAAAGGGGCAAAATTGTGGGTTTTAGGTTTCCTAAAACCCATTAGAAACTATTTCAGAGAGAAAAAACCCAAAAAAAAAAGAATTCTACTGGGCCACCCAGGTTCTGGGCACTTGCCTAGGCGCTGGGCATCCTTGATCCCCACGACCGCTTAGGTGCCGCCTAGCGCTTTTTGAAACACTGCACTTGTTCTTTTGGAAGAAGTCCTTTTGTAATGAGTTGGATCATAATGGAGATGGATTTAATGGGACTTGAAGTGACTTTGTAATGAGTTGGATCAGAATGGAGATGGATTTAATGGGGCCTAAAGGTCACTTCAAAATGAAATTGAAGAAAGACTAAGGACCAAAAATAAAAATGTGGGCTTGTTGTGTAGGTTGGTATCTAGAATATATGGGGCTCCATGGTCTAGATGTGATAGGATGCACTAATGAGTTCGAAGTGCAATATGGTTATGAAAGTGACTTGGTTCTCTAGTCAATGGAGGCTTGGCTAAACTCTTGGATTTGAGGGATGAAGATATTGTGAATTTTGGGTTTCGAGGTTTAAACTCCTGGATTTTAGAGTGAAAAAGTACAAGGGGGTGTGAAACACCATTTTATACATTTTTTTTGTTTTTATTTAACACCTTCATTTGAGGGAGGTTTACAATATGAGAGGTGAGGTTAGACACTTAAGGACAAGAGCGAGACACACCAAGCAGCCAAAATAGAATCTTATTTGATTTGAAGTTGGCCATATGGTGCATGAGTCCATGCATGGGACATCTGAGAATTGTGATACCCTACGAGAGAGAGAGAGAGATGCTTTTAGTCGTTTTAGAGAGGGTGGTGCTTTTGGACATTGAAATGGTACATAGAGAGAGGTGCTTTTGGCCATAAAAATGATACATATGAGAGAAAGAGAGGTGCTTTTAGGTCGTAGAAATGATACATAGAGAAAGATGCATTTGCTCATTGTGTTTAGTCCCACATTGAGGATATACATAAGGGGAACTCCATCCCTTTTATAAAAAAGAACTCCATCCTTTTTATCAAGACTAGTAGGCTAGTTACCATTCGAAATAAAGGAGGTGAGGCATGGTCATTTAAGTTTTAAATGAAATATCTATGATTAATATTTTTTAAATAATAAATTAATAAATAAAAAATGAAAATAGTAATATAAATATAGAAATTGGGTCGGCTGTCGTTTCCTTAATACAACCAATTGGTTCTATCTGAGAACCTGCTGGTTCTTTTGGGAACTGCCTAGTTCTTGATATATAGCGGGAGTTGGATCGGTCCGACCGATTCCAGATCCGGATTGGGCGGTTCCCATCCAGATCGAAATGTTTTCAAACCCTAAAACACACATTTGAGGCATTAGGTTGTGACAATCGCATTGTATACATCAGGGTTTGAAAAATGCCGATCTGGATTGGAATCACCTGATCCGAATTGGAAATTGGTGGGACCGGTCTGGCTCCTATTGTATATCGGGACCTGAGCGGTTCCCAAAAGAATCGGCCAGTTCTTTGACAGAACCGGACGGTTCTATCGGAGAACGACAACCCACCCGGTTCCCACATTTATATTACTATTTTTAAATTTATTAATTTCTTATTTTTAAAATTTTAAAAATAAAAATTAATAATAGATATTTCATTTAAAGCATAAATGACCAGGTCTTACCTCCTTTGTTTTGAATGGTGCCTGGCCTACTAGGCTTGACAAACTGGTGGGAATTCCTTTTTGTAGCATTACACTATAAACCTCTTGTGTCCCTGATGTGGGACTAAACAAAATAAAGCCTAACCTCAAATCCTTATCCAGAAAGTACTTTTGGCAATAGAGATATCTATGATGGCTCTAAAATCATTTTCCAAGACCAACAATAAAATTTTAAACTCAAAGAATGATATAGATCTTGTGGATTTGTGAACACTTATTTTAAGGCAAAATGAACGGTTTAGATAATTTGTTATAATGTACACTATTTTTAGAGCTTGAAATCCGATTTTTTTTCACAACCATAATTTTCAATTCAAGATGATCGATATAACAATTCTCCAATGCTTGTTCGGCAATGCAAACACTGGACAGTGGGGTTTTTATTTTAAACTTGGGTGAATTTGCTGTCTCGTGTTCGAAATACCGGACAATTATTAGGGATTTTCCAAAACCATGCGAGCCCCATTTCCTGCTCTTGCCCTTCTATTTCTCTCATTGAACCATATTTTGGAGTCATTTTTTCGGCATCCGTGGTGTTTTCCGGTGAGAGAGGCATTGTGGTGGTGTAGTTTTCCGGTGTATGGGTGGCGTTTCCCATCCATCTAGGGGTGTTTTTAGGCGAGAAACAGGACTGAGGGAAAGGGAAAATGAAGCCATCCAAGCCTTGGATAACCAGGATAGATCAAGACGTGTGATTTGGATGCCATTGATCAAGGTCATGGTGGTATTATGAGTCGAGTTCATGGAGGGTACAGTGATAGAGCGATCGGAGCTCTTGGTTTGGATCTTGGTGCCATTAGCGAGCTTAGAGAGATGGTGATAAGTGAACAAACCGGCGATTATGTGCTCTTTGAGGATTTGAGGGCGATAGCAACGGGAGCAAGAATGAATTGCCTTGTCCATGACTAGCTCTTTGGACCCAAGGTTTGATAGGATTGGGGCGAGTGAGGATTGAGTTTCAGGGTAATGGGTCAATGATGGGTAGGCGGTGGTGTTGAATTCTTGAGTGGGTCAGGGGGAGAGAGAGAAAGGTTTCTTGGACCTTGTAGAGGAGGGAAATAGCGAAGCAGAGGAGAGAGAGTTGAAGGCGATTACCCATTTTCGTTGAGAGAGAGAGAGTGAGAGAGAGAGAGGGAGAGAGAGAGAGTGAGAGAGAGATGGTTTCCTAAGGTTCAAGCAATGAACGGAGGGTTTCACAGAGAGTGAAACATGTTGTAGAGAGAGAAAGAATAAGTGTGAGAGTGAGAGGTTGCAGAGGAAATGAAGGAGAAGAAATGGAACACGAGTTGAAGAGATAGTAAGAGAGAAAAGGAGCACACGAGCTGCCAAAGAAAGTAGAGGAGAGAGAAAAGGAAAAACACGAGTTGCCGAGAAAGTAGAGAGAGAGAGAAGGAATACACCAGTTTCCGAGAAAGTACAGAGTGAGAAAAAGAATATATGAGTTGCAGAGAAAGTAGAGAGAGAGAGAGAAGGAAAACACGAGTTGCAGAGAAATGGGGCTCGTACGGTTTTGGAATATCCCTAATAACTGTCTGGTATTTTGAACACCGGATAGCTCAAGTTAAAATAAAAATCCCGTTGTCCAGTGTTTGCATTGTCGGACAGGAGGGCAACTTAGGAAACAAACAAATTTGCTGTGGAGGGGGGGGGGGGGGTGGTTTGTGTGTGCTCGTAATTTCGGGAAAATGAGTGCCCATTTGGTAATTGATCCCCTCCAATAGTGTCTGTACATAATTTGCTCTAAAATCAATGAAGCATATTATGATTGTCAAAATGCTTGTGGTGTTGACATGGGTGTTGCTAGGGTAGGGGTGTCAACAAGCTGAGTTAGCTCGTGAGGTGGCTTGTAACCAAGCATGAACAATATTTATTGGCTGATCAAGCCAAGTCAAGTCAAACCAAGTGGAGCCTATAAGCCTGATTATTACATAGCCTGTCAAGCTGAGATAAGCTCAGCTTGAATTTATTTAATACAATTATATATACAATATTGATTATGTCATACTGACCTCATCTCGAATATGAAATTCAGCTTGAGGTATTTTATTGGTAGCATAGATATATTTTGTATATTGGCTTGCTTATAGGTTTCTTGTCTTTTTTATGGCTCGTCTCTGCTTGCTTATAAACTTGTTTAAGACTTTAAGTATACAAGCCAAACCAAGCCATGCTCAAGCTTACCTTCCCTAATCAAGCCAAACTCAAACTTGGTGGTTCAAGCTCGAGTCAAGTTCAAGCCGAGCTCCAGCTGAGCCAAACCAAGTGGAGCCTATAAGCCTGATACCCAGTCATACTTAGACAAGCTCAGCTTGAATTTATTTAATACAATTATATATACAATATTGATTATGTCATACTGACCTCATCTCCAATATGAAATTCAGCTTGAGGTATTTTGTTTGTAGCATAGATATATTTTGTATATTGGCTTGCTTCTAGGTTTCTTGTCTTTTTTATGGCTTGTCTCTGCTTGCTTATAAACTTGTTTAAGACTTTAAGTATACAAGCCAAACCAAGCCATGCTCAAGCTTACCTTCCCTAATAAGCCAAACTCAAACTTGGTGGTTCAAGCTCGAGTCAAGTTCAAGCCGAGCTCCAGCTGAGCCAAACCAAATGGAGCCTATAATCCTGATTATTAAATAGCCAGTCAAGCTTAGACAAGCTCAGCTTGAATTTATTTAATACAATTATATATACAATATTGATTATGTCATACTGACCTCATCTCGAATATGAAATTCAGCTTGAGTTACTTTATTTGTAGCATAGATATATTTTGTATATTGGCTTGCTTATAGGTTTCTTGTCTTTTTTATGGCTTGTCTCTGCTTGCTTATAATCTTGTTTAAGACTTCCAAGTATACAAGCCAAACCAAGCCATGCTCAAGCTTACCTTCCCTAATCAAGCCAAACCCAAACTTGGTGCTTCAAGCTCGAGTCAAGTTTAAGCCGAACTCCAGCTGAGCCATCGACCCATGCAAGCCAAGCTTGAGTGATCAAGCTCACTTCGGCTCGTTGACAACTCTATCCCTGCATTCTGCCCCATTGTGAGAACTGACAGTCATAAGATCTTGGGCCTTCTCCTAACTGTTGCTGCTTTCCAATAACTTGGGGTTGAGTTTGGAGTTTGGACCATGCACAAGAGCAGTGTCAAGAATTGTAAACTCCCTGAACACCTTGATTTTTATTCCACTTATATCATGCGTATGGATCCGGCCTTTCTCATAGATCCCTTCATCTTTGTCATTGGGGGCATTTAAGTCTCTAAGGGATGTCTAAAGAGAGATATGGGATTGAAGAGACTGGCTGCTTCTGTTTTACGAACGAGCGACTTATTATTGAACAAACAAGTAGGGAGAGAGAATTGAAAGCCCACTCCAATGGAATCCTGGGCCATATAGGGCATTTTGTAGGGCTGTGATGGCTGCTAGATGTTTGATGCAAATGGCTTAGTCCTACATCAATTTTTGATGTTGACCATTCTGAGTAACTAAACTGCATAATTTTCCATTCAATAAGATGCATGTGCCTTATTATAGCATTTATATATATATATAATTTTTTTTTTCCTGATCTTATGATGCTTTCTTTTATTTTGAACTTAAAATGATATTTGATAATATAAATTTCTTTCTAATCCAATGATGCTTTTTTTATTTTGAGCTTAAACATTATATGATAGTACTTTTAAATTGGTGAAAATTTAGTCCTCTTGCAAGTCGCTCCTTTGTGGTAAATATTAAAACTTTAGAGAAGGAATTTCCATATGGTTAGCGAGCAATCAAGTCAAATTAGATAACAAAACTATTGCAAGAAAATTCAATCTTTGGGTGAATTGCACTAAATGCATCACATAAAATGTAGGATATTCATAGGCTAGATTAATAGGGATCTTAGTTGCCTGGGAAAATTTCTTGAGGATAATCCCGGAGGTTGGGGGGGAGGAGAGGGAGGGGAGGGAGGGAGGGAGGGGCATGGGGGTTCATTCAGACATGCATTCATGCGTGTGTGTCTGTCTAGTTTTATCCAATTTTAAATTTAGTGTTATAGGCCATAACCAGCGAAACCATTCAGATAAAAAAAAGTGATTACCAGTGAAGCTAAGACTGTCAACTTCACATTCGGAAGAACCAATGAACTTCTGGCCAGGAAATCGCAAGATTTTAGGAGTGGGAGCAACTGATAATAGGATTCGGGATTTTGGGTTTTTAATTTCTGGAATCAAGACATATGGTTTAAGTACCACACTTTTAGCAGAAAACTAAAATATATTAAAAGAAAGAAAAGTCTTCCCAACGCCTATAGGCAAAAATGAACAGTGATTTCGCCTACCCTCGTCACCGTCCAAAGTTCATCGTACAGTCACGATTGTTCGGTAGTATTTCATTTTTCATTTTTTTTTCTACAAATCGGAATGATCTGAAATTTGGAGCATGTGAACATCTTAGTGAGGCGCACCTAATAAAAATATTAAAAAAATAATTCGCAAAAAATGATCAAAATACCCTTGAAATGTTTAGGGGGTATTTTGGTCAATTTATTTCAGGTAAAATAGTTTTTTGATATTTTTCGTAGATTTGCCTATTTTGATGAACAAACACTCCAAATTTCATATCATTGCGATTTGTAGAAAAAAAATGAAAAATAAAACACTACCAGACAATTGTGACCCTGCGATAAACTTTGGACGGTGACGAGGATAGGCAAAATCACTGTTCATTTTCGTTTATAGGTGTTTTGTAGTATCTTCCTTAAAAGAATCATATTGTAAATTACTAATGGGTTTGGGGATGTCATACGAATCAAAATATCTTGGGGAATCCAACATGTCATAAAAGAATCCGTTGAAGTGTTGGATTCAGGGTGCCAGGTTTTGAAATAATCCTATTCGTGGTTCCTTCATTGTGAAAAATCCTTAGGTGTCTTGGAAGAATGCATGTTCATACCTTTGTTGGTCATCTTTAATATGGTTGCTGCATTAGAAAGAATGTCAGGTAACATAGGCTTGGAGTGATGGATTTTTGCTCTCTTTTGCTAATATCTATGCACCTGAATGGGCACAACACATTAATTTCAGTTTCTGTATACTCATTTTCATTTTTATATGCCAGAAAGCAGCATAATTTCGTTTTTGGCTTTACAAATTACTGAATTTACCACCATAGGGTAAATTGGTATCTAGAATAAGAATGTTATATATTTAGGAAAAGAATAACCAAGCTATTTTTGCCTGTTGTAGAAACAAAAGAAATAAAAACGAAAGGATCTAAGATGAGTGTTTTGTTTCTTGTTTCTAGTTTCTATGGGCATTGCGCGTTTTAAATGTGTTGCTGCAATTATCCTTTTATCATGAATCACGGTTATGATTTCAGGAGGAGCATGACGGAATATGATCCATGCCTAGTTGCTCCTACTTGCTTGTACCTAGCATCAAAAGCAGAAGAAAGCACAGTGCCTGCCAAGCTTCTTGTGTTTTGGCTGAAGAAACTATGTAAGTTTCTGTTTTTGTTGTACCTGGCTTGTTGTGATGCTGTTCCAAATTATCTTAAGCTTCGTATCTTCTTGTTCCAGATGCAGATGATAGGTATAAATTTGAGATCAGAGACATTCTTGAGATGGAGATGAAGCTTCTTGAAGCACTTGACTATTATTTGGTTATTTACCATCCCTATCGTGCATTGACTCCGTAAGAGCTGTTGCTCGGCCCACTTCCATTTTCCCTTTGTGCATTTAGTTCCACAACTTATATGAGTGTGACCAGTTCTTTTGTTGTTTTGAGCTGTTCTTGTAGTCTTGGAAAATCTAAAGTAATGTCAAGCATTGAAATTTTATAATTGTATTTACCTTCATTTTTATCTACTTGGAAGTACGAGTAAGCATGGCATTGGTTATCAGTGAGCTTATCTTGTAACAATCTAGTTATTATCTAAATACAGTGGGGAAATCATCACCTAGTCATCATCATATTATACTAGTGGGGATTTATGGCCTCTTAAGAACTCTCTCTTCTCTCTCTCTCTC